GGGATGCTGCAACAGTCGTAAGTGTGAAAAATGGTCATAAGTCACTTTTTTCAGTGCCATTGTAACTTTGAATGGTCACTCCACACAAGCAAAATGCCAGCAAAGGAGGGGGAAAAAACTCCAGAGAAGTTCCTGAGACAGGAAGTCTAATCCTTCCAAGAATGTAATAAGGGTTAATGAAGAGGCAGTTTCTGTAAGCAACACCAGAATGTTTCCTTCCTGCCTTCCTTACAAGATCAGGCCAGTAATTTCTTCTAACAACCAGTTCTCCAAACTGCTTAGATTGTTAACAACAGTTTCTAGTGAATAGGTGCAGACTGGTAGAATTCCACCCCTGCATACCAGGAGTACATTTGTGCAAGTCAAAAGGATTTGAAGAACAGTCTGAACAGCAAGGTATGAAGAACAGATGGTGAGAATATACAGAAGAGTTGATTGCGAACCACAAAAAGGGCCAGCCTCCCAAAGGTTGATGTGGAAAGGGAGGCAGAAAAAGAACCAGCCATCCTTCAGAAAGAAGTTGTGTGAGCAATAGGCAAACTGCCAAAGAATAAGGCCCCAGGTATTGATACAATTCCAGCAGAGTTGCTGAGGCCTGAACCCACCCACAACCATCATAGTCAAAAAATGTGATAAACAAACACATGGCCACAGGATTGGAAACAATCAGTGTTAATTCCATTCCCAAAAAAAGGTGACTTCAAGGATTACTGCACAATTTCTCTCATCCCTCACACTAACAAAATGCACACAACAACATCTGTTGCTGACCATTGAAAGGGATTTGCTAGATGTTTAAACTGGCTTCAGAGGGGGTTGTGGCACTTACGACCATATTGAAAATCTGTGCTGGATCACAGAAAAATCTAAAGAATATAAAAGAACATCTACATCTACAATAGATTACAATAAAGCTTTTGATTTTGTCAATTGTGACAAGCTGTGAAGAGGCCCTCAAAGACCTAGGGTTGCCAACACCTCTGTAGAAGTTGGTGCAGTTGCTATACACAAATCAGGAAGCCATTGTGGGGACACCATAAAGAGACACTTATTGGTTCAAGATAGAGAAAGGAGTGTGACAGGGTTGCATTAGTTCATCTTTCTTATTCAACCAGTATGCTGAAGTGATCATGAAGAAGCTGAAGCCTGAAGAACCAAAAATTAGAGTACAGATTGGAAGGTAACATCCACAATATGTTGATGACATAACTCTCAGGAAGGCCTGAAACATCTGATCAAAAAGATTAAAGAAGAAAGCGAGAAATTTGGCCTCTTCCTGAATGTTAGTAAGACCAAGCTCATGACCACTGTGAAAAATGAAAATATAAAAATAGCAGTTGATGAAGACATCAAATGCATGTTAAAAACTTCTAGGTTCGTGGATTGATCAAAGCAGTGAATGTAGATTTTTTCCTCCAAATTTTCTTGGGGCCATTAAATCAGAGGAGGGGAAGATATAGAAGTTTCTTACCCTGAGATTTATTGGTAATTTCTAATTTAACTTCCACCTACTCTTAAATAAAACTTTTTCACCCCTTCTGAATGCTGCAAATAATTAGAAAACTCCTAACAGTGCTTTGCTTTGATTTCAGATGTTGAGGGATTTGAGAGCAAGCTAGGACAGGTTGCATGAAAGAGAAGTCCAAGAGTTGATGGGCTGATGAAGAATTCTGAAGCCCCCTTTTCATAAATGAAAACAAAAGTTACTTACTAGGATAGGCATAGCTCAGAGGCATTGAGTGGGATCTAAAAGAGATTGTTCTCCTTAAATCAATGGGGTGTGGCAATTCTTTTCCTGTCATTCACATGAATCTGCTCTCATGTCACGGAATGCTTAATCAGATTTTGGCTGGGCAAATGAATGAAATGGAATAAAGCACGGGAACAAAATGCAAAATTAATGTCAGGAAGCAACTTCTGCTAATTAAATTGTCTAAGTCTTATTAGATGGCTGGAGACCTGAGTATTTTACTGATGGAGTAGTTACAGAGCCTTGGATATCAACATATTGATCATGTGAAAAATGTATAAGGGGCATTATTTTTATAAAAAGACAACAGAACCTGAAAAATAATGAAAGATGAAGTATGACAGCAACTGAGATCATGCCTTTATCAGTGATCATTATGATGATCAAATCAATCAGAATCAGGAGTCATATATAATGTTCACATATCACAAGCATGATCATTAATGGACAGTTTAATTCTGCCATTATCCATCCAGCAAGGAACTCATTCATCAGGAGTCATTAGGATTGCAATCCCTGTGCTAACTTTGTAAAGTCCCTTTACAAAGTGCACTTACCCAGAACAACACCCACAGCACATAGCTATATGAGTTCACTTCGAAATCATTAGCCAATCTTACCTCTCTCTCTCTCCTTGCTTGACTTGCTGAAAGTTTACGTGTATGTGTGTGTGTGTGTGTGTTATCTATCTTCTATCTATTTATCTATCTATTCTTGGATACATACATGAATGCATGCATGCATACAGTACATACATACATGAGTTTATATCTATCTTTCTATATTTTAACTCTTGGATACATAATACATATAAACAAGCACACATACATACATAAATACAAACTCTTGGATATATGTATGTATGTATCGAAGAGTTCAAATATAGATATATTAGTTGAAATATATGTATGAAATATAGATTTATATTATATACATACATATATATGCACACACACATACACAGAGAGAGGCGGGGGGGCAGGCTAGCATTTGAAATAGTAGTATAATCCATGGAAGTACCACCAGGAACTGATATAGCAAAACCAGGAAAGTGCCACTCATGTTTCCTTTTTGAGAAGAGTTCAGGAGACATATAATTATCCCACCTACAGAATTTGCTTGTATGCCATGTCATGTTTTTATCAGGGCTGTGTTCTGACAAGCGTATTACTAATTTAGGCCTCAATTCTATACCCACTTACCTGGGAGTGGGAGTAAACTCAGTGGAACTTAGTTCTGGATGAGCTTGCATAGAATTGGATTATTAATAAATTTCTCTAGGCTGTAATTAACATCAGTGAACGGTAAAATCAGGCTTCCAGCAGATGTGGGGGTTTTTTTCCTTCTTTTTCTGGAAAGTGTATTTAAAAGAATTAGGCGTTTTGTGGGTGTGGCCACTTTACAGAGAAATGCAACGTTTTCATTCCTGAGAGTTCAGAAGCCCCTTTTGCTTTTGAATCCAAAGTGCTGCATAGCCTGAGGATTCAATACTCTTTTTAATATCATCTGATATTTCTCTAACAGAGCTTAAGCAGGCTGTCTTCAGTTTCCTGATGCATTAATTACAGCTTTCAGTGCCATGCTTGTGTTTGGTTTGGGGAGCAGCAATTATTATGGCTTGGTTTTGAACTTTAGAATTCTTCTTTAAAAGAATGTTTTCCAGAAGGTATTTCAGAAATTGCATATTTATTTCCAACCTTCCAGTCTGCTAGTGGTATTTTTTTATGATGACTGGATGCAACCCATGCTGAATGGCTGAATTATCAAGAGACTGGTTGCGAAATAATGCTAATGCATTGCTTTTATCTTATGGGCGGAGTTATGCTTTCCATTCCTAAAAAAAAAAAACCTTGTCAGGGTGGAATTTGGATGATGTGGAGATGTCTCTCCGTTGATTTAGAAGCTTTAAAGTTTTAAACAATTGGAAAAATAAAACACTTTCAAATATTTAGAATTAACATAAAGGACTCGCAGGCTATAAATGTAATCTTTATAAGCTTATAACCGCAAGCAGCCCAGAGTCACCTCATTGGGGAGATGAGCAGTATAAAACATTTTAAAAATTAAGTAAAATAAACATAAAGGAAACAGGAATATTTTCTTCCTTCCCTGAAGGCATGTGCTTGTTCACGTCCCAGTGTAATCTGCGTAAACATATTGCCCATTATCATTTTGTTTATATATCATCTTATGAAAGGACTCAGAACTGCCACCAGCTCTGCTGAAAGTCTCTCCTTGTCAAAGAATATCCAAGACTGTGCTGGAACTGTTTGATTCCGCCACCTCAGTCTCCCACGTGCTGTTATGGTGGGGACATCACCATAAGAAGGCTACGGTTTCCTGGTTTAGGTCACCGAAGGTTAGGAAACATATCTACCAGCTGGTAGTGACTGCTGTTGTCTTTATGCTCATTTCCATGTGGCCAAGGCCTCCAAAGTGGTTTAGGATTTCATGTTCTATAATCTCATAAATTACCTCTTGATGGCAGCATTTCTTAAAGTAGGTAAAAGCCCACTTTAAATGATGTGGCGGTGATGACACTAAGACTTCTAAAAATGTATTTCCTCTAAATATAAGTCCTAGGTATAAAACCACACAACCAGAGTAAGTTGTAATAACACAATGCAGAACAAAAATGTAAGCAAGAAGCCCTTCTTTTAGCTCTCCAATTATAAATTTATTTGTGCATTTATTTGAGAACTGGGTTTTTTAGGTAGCTTTTGGCCAGTTTTATTTCCACAGAGATGCTTTGAAGGTAGACTACATAAATTTTGTGGAAAATCGAGCACAGTAAATGAAATGAAAACTTCAGAGTAACAGGAGATGGGCTAATATTTGGGATCGGGTCAGTCCCAGCCTGAAAGGCCAACAGACGGATATACAGGACCGGTTGTTCCAATTCTCCTCCGGTTTCTTTGGTCGAACTTTTTCTTCTCGCCATAACCCTGAAGTGGCAAAATCACGCGAACCTACGATCTTGAAGAGTCCTCTCAGGGGAAAAGCCGGGATCTGCTGCACAAATTGTTGCCCCGCTTGTGGAATGGATGGTGGGGAGGGAAGCTGCCTCTGAACTTTGGGCTAGGCGGCAAAGCGAGACACCTCTTCCCCCCCCACCACTCCCCGCCCTCCGTCCGCGGGCGGCGGGGGCAGGGCGCGAGGGAGGGTCTCCCTCTGCACGCCGCGCCAGCTGAGGGTGGAGCGTCGCTCGTCCGCCTGGCTCTAGGACCCAGCGGTGCCAGGCACCCTCCAGACTCTCGCTCGGCAGCACCTGCCCAGCCGGTGATTCAGTCAAGTGGTTGCCGCCGCCAGGATGGTGCAGCTGCCGCAGCTGGTCGTCGCCTCCTCCTTGTGGCTCGGGCTGGGCTGGTGGGCGTCTTTGCCGCCAACCGGACTGGCGCTGCCCGAGGTGCTGTTCCGTTGCCCGCCCTGCACCGCCGACCGCATCGCCTCCTGCCCTTCCGACGGACCCGAGACCTCCGCCTGCCCGGAGCTAGTGCGGGAGCCCGGCTGTGGCTGCTGTCGAGTTTGTGCCCGCTTCGAGGGGGAGCCCTGCGGGGTGTACACGCCACGTTGCGTCTCCGGGTTCCGCTGCTACCCGAGTCCCGACTCTGAGTTGCCCCTTCAGGCGCTGGTGCAGGGACAGGGCACCTGCTCCCGGTGGAGCGACGCCGCTGAGTACAGCGCCACCACCGTCGAGCACCCCGGGGCGGGTGAGTGGAGGGTCTCCGCGGGGTGGGCTAAGACAGCCATCCGGGAAGCGAACAAGGGACATTTGGCTAAGAATGACCGACCCTTCAGGTCCCGTTTCAGCCCCGGGAGTGGCTTTCTGAATAGGTGCAGAGTGCTTCCCCCAAACCGGGAAGGATGAAGGGTTTCCAAACTCTTCAACTGTTCCCCAAAACGACTCTAGACCCGGACTAAACAATAATAATATATTTAATCAAGTGTTAGGACTGAGTAACCTCACTGTAGCCTTCTTAAGATAGTGGTTGAGAATTTTAAGGTGAAATTGAGCCTCAGCATCTTCTCTGGAGGTAGTTAAATTCTGGGACTGATTATATGGGAGAATCTCCCAAATTTGAGCTTGATGTTAGGAAAAGCAAGGTGACTGCCTGCCGATATTTAATACTGCAATTCCAGAGCTCACTCAAGGTTGCAACATATTTTGGGGGGTTGCAACGTAATAAAGCATTTTTCTTAATATTTACAGGGTCAGGTGAAGTATATAAAGTATTCTTTGGGTGCCTATCTGGAGAACCCTGATGAGGTGTTGAATTTTGCATTGTTCTGTCTATTCTCTATATTATGGGCGAATACATTTTGGGTGTTAGGCAAATATTGAAGATAGATTGGTTTAGCGGGACCTTGAGAAGTATATTCGAGTTTGTATGGATTTAAGTTGCTGGAGAGTTGAGCAAAAATTGAGAATAGAGTGGTTTGGTGGGAGCTTGAGAAGTATACAGAGTTTGTGTGGGAATATGCATAACATGATAATTCTTCAAGTACCAGACATTGCAAATGGCTCAAGAAGCAAGCTGGCTTAACTGAGAAGCACCATGTGAGGAATTTAAGAGTGTGTGTAGAAGAGACCTCTGGAGCCTGTAGATAGAAGTCTGGGAGCAAAGAATGGTGATGGGATCAATAATGTGAACGTGGGGTAACTGACTGAGAGTACAGAATAGAAAGCAATACAGAAAACCAGTCTAAAACAATAGAAGAGCGTGAAAGAATTGAAAAAGAGGAGATTCTAAGGAACAAGGCACAGGAAACTAATGAGGATTATAATTGATACCAGCATTCAGAGAGAATTTGATTTTTAAAAAGGCCAGGAGTAAATTAACTGAGAATTTAGATGTGGTGTTAAGCGTACAAATGGAAATAATTGAGTGGCAAGAACTAAACAAAAATAATACGGATTTGATGAAGAGACATGTTTTCCTGGGAGGCCGCAAGTAAAAAGTAAGGCACATGCTATTAGGAAGTTGGATTGATGATAGAATGGAAATTGGGGGTTCTAATCTGAGGGTGCAGAGAAACAGGTGCATATAGTTATTTTATTTGTAGCCCTCTGCAGTTACTAATACTGCACCTTCACTTGCTTAAAACATAATAGATTTTTGGTGGATCTTTGGAGTTTTTTCTGATGTGGGGTCCACTTTGTGGACACAGCTTGTATGTGTAGATGTAGAGTGAAATAGACCTCTCAGCTATGTCATGCATGGCTGGAAAACATAAGATTCTGCTTCAGAGAGGTCCTTCGTAAAATGTTGCAATGAATTGTAGAAATGCTACAAAACATTTTTTGAGATGCTGCATCTTTTAAAGAACTATTCTCAAGAAATGTAAAGTTTGAATTTCAGGGATCAGAATTCTGAACTGGTTTCCAATACTATTTGAAGGATTCTTTTCCCTTGTAAGTCTTTTAATGATAAGAGCATTAAAAGGGAAAACAACCCTTCTGGTAATATTGAAACACTGATCTCTGATCCCATAATTCTGAATTTCAAATTTTATTTTAAGTTTCTTAAGAATAATTTGATAATTATTTTATAGTGTTTTTGGTATCAATATATATTGACACCAAAAACAATATATGTATCAGCATTATGTAGATGTGCTGAAGCGGCATAAGCAGTCATGGTTTGCTAGCTTATATCTCCAGTGATACTGAAGGAATTTTTTTAATAGATTATGGAAGACACACTGTAAATAGATATATCCATGTCAAATTCAATTGCCTTGTGATCTGTCTTAGAACGTAGTGTACATATTTAATAGTTTGTGATCTCCAAAATCCATTGTGACCAGAGGGTACTGCAATTTACCATTTAAAAGCTTATCTTGACTGTCTTAGCTTAAAGCCTTTCAGCTCAATGTTAATTATAGTGAAATTAAGACTTACTCTGCCTGAGGTAAAGAAAGAAGAATGTTAGTCTATAACTCTCATGCTACTCTGGTTAGGATTAGAAGAAACTGTCCTAAAACCATCCATCTCTCGTAGTATATACAGCATTTCTTTCACAAAATTTTTATTCTATTCTCAAATTCTTCTGAATTAGCCTTATAAATGTACTCTATACATCTATATGACATACGGTATGTTCCTATGTCTCCATGCTTAGTTAAAAAGAATTCCTTCTAAATTTAGTGGGACGGTGATGAGAGTTTTCCCATTATAAACAGAGCGGAAGAAGGAAAAGAAACTGCTTTTGCTGAGTTTGAGTTTTAGTATAAGACACAGAGCTTTGAGCTCCTTCTTTCAAACTGGGGAGAAATCAAATCAAAATTAATATAATCTGAATTGAACATACTTTGGTCTTGCCACCCTCATCTGCCAAAATCCAAGTGCTGATTTAAAGCTTTAGGTATATTCAGAATAACAAAATAACAGAGTTAGAAGGGACATTGGAGGTTTTCTAGTCCAATTCCCTGCTTAAGCAGGAGACCCTATACCATTTCAGACAAGTGGCTGTCCAGCCTCTTCTTAAAAGCCTCTAGTGATGGAGCACCCACAACCTCTGAAGGCAAACTGTTCCACTGGTTAATTGTTTTCACTGTTAGAAAATGTATCCTTAGTTCTTTGTTGCTTCTCTGCTTGATTAGTTTCTATCCATTGTTTCTCATCTTGCCTTCTGGTGCTTTGGAAAATAGATTGACCCTCCTCTCCAATATTGAAACACCAATATTAGCATGTCCCCCCCAGTCCTTCTTTTCACTCGACAAACCGAATTCCTGCAACCATTCTTCATATGTTTCAACCTCCAAGCTCCTAATCACCTTTGTTGCTCTGCTCTGTGGTCTTTTCAGAGTCTCAGCATTTATTTATTTTTAATATAATGAGGTGACCAAAACTGGATGCAGCATTCTAAGTGTGGTCTTACTGCTGTTTGATAAAGCAGTAATAAAACTTCATGTGATCTTGATTCTATCCCTCTGTTAATGCAACCTAGGATTTTATGGCTGCTGCCACACTCTACTGGTTCATATTTAAGGACTTCAAGGTCCCCGTCACAGTTACTGCTATTGAGCCAGGTTTCACCTAATCTGTACCTGTATGTTTGGTTTTTCTTACCTAAGTGTAAAACCTTACTTTTGTCTACAGTGAATTTCATTTTGTTAGATAAGGCCAGGTGATCAAGTCTCTTGAGATCCATCTGGATCTTGAGCCTATCTTCTAGACTGTTAGCTATTTCTGCCAGTTTAGTGTTGTCTGCAAATTCTATTCCCTCATCCAAATAGTTTATGAAGATATTGAAGAGTACATATATAGCCTTCTTGCTTAGATTGGAGTTTCTCATTTTTAGGTTGAGTTTCAGAGTGGCTAGAGTTGCCTCTAGACCCTTTACTTTTTCTTCCAGTAATTCATTTAGTTTACATTTAGTACAAATGTCACAGGCGGTACCTGCTTATTTCATGGATTCTTGATTATTTGTACTGTATAGAGAAAGTCAGGAGGAGCGAGCCTTTTCTTAATTGAGGACTGCAATGCAATTTCTAAAATAAGGGGTGGAAAGCAAACTTTGTCCCTGATGAGAGTCAGGAAGATTGCAGGAGTCAAAGGAATAAGAATGAATATCCTACTATGGGCTTTGGGGTTGTTTAATCTTCCACTAAAGCCCTTGCAGTCCAGTCAGGCTTCATGTAGGAAGAAATGCAAACAATCTGTGGCAAGAATAGATGTCATTTCTGATCGTAATATAGGCTGTGAGTATTCTCCTGAACTGTAGAATACTTGTGGGAATCAAAATAAGGGTTCAAGTACAAGTATGACCCTTGAGGTTAAGTTTTATAAAATTCTAAATAATTCATCTTGCTTCATAAAGGCACTTAATTAAAACTAGACTAACTTCAACAGTACCTAATTGGTATTTAATTAGAGTTCTTGCTTCACATCTATTAAGTCAACAAAGATGACATTCTATTTACTGCCTCTACCCATGTCTATAGTCAAACATCACCAGCTGGTCTCAGTGTATTCTTCCAAATCCTCTGTGAGGTGACTTCGTGAATTTTATTCCAATTTTTCTTTAATAAGATAAAATTTAAATTGACTCCATTTCACAAAGAATTGCAGCTTTCTTCCTATTGATATGAAAATATTCCCATTGTTCCTATTTCTAAGATATGTCTTCATGTTCTGATAAAAGTATACAAGTAACTCTTGTAAAGTTTGTAGTAAAGAAACTGCTACAATTGTGTACATGGACACTAAATTTCACTGAGCTTGGAAACTCTTAAGCATGCATTGGATTGCTGAGATACCTTTGACCATTGGCATTCTCATAAATATTTGGTGGAATTGCTTCACATTTGAAAAAGAATGACGTATGGGTAACCTAAAACTCTTCTCACAGAAAAGTTTCTTCTGCATACTACCCTGGTATTTTTAACTTTGTTTTCCCCATTTTTATTCTCTTGGTCTTATGTTGGTAACCTGACATAGTGCCTACTGTATTTCAGTTCACTGTCAACTTGGTGTGCTTTGGATATCTGACAGAAGGAACATACATGACTGCATGCTACAACAAATCCGATGTTTGCAAAGTGTCCTGGGACATTGGCTTTATTATCCATAGTGTAGTGATTCTATAGAAGTTTGGGTTTTTGTGATTTGATTTTTGACACATTTTTTAAAAACTTTGCCTAATAATCTGACTATCATTGGTCATTTAAGATTTTTCCAAGTGGATTATTGGCTCATCTGTAATAG